AGCAATGGGAATAGATAGTGATAGAGAAGGTGTTGAAGAGGAAGAGGCTGTTGAGGAAGATGATGGTGATGAAGAAGGAGGTGAAGCTCCTCAACTGGAAGTCAGCAAAAAAGAGAAGAAAAAGAAAAACAAAAAAGAGAAAAAGGCTAAAGTTGTGGTAGAGAGCACAAGCAAATCAAAGGATTCGGTATGTATTCCAGATAAGTGAGGTTTATTTGGTTGTCCTTTTTAAAGGGAAATCTCATGGTTTTTGAAAGGAAATAATGTTGCATTGGGAAGACTCAAATGTGCCTGGCACTTGAGTCCAACCTGATTGCTGTTGGGAGGCTCTTTGGCCGAGTTATACACTGAAACTGTTGCTCATCACATCAGTGCTGAAGAGCACAGTGTTCCAGGGAGTAGGCATTACCTTTGAGAGTGGCAGAGTGCACATTGTGTAACCAGCTAAACTTTCTTGATCTCCCTTTAGGGCACGGAGAGCACCAAGAAGAAGAAGAAAAAGAAGAAAGCCAGACTAATGGCAGAGGATTCTGAGTAGTGAGTGTCCAGCTTGGGGGAGATGATGGAAGCCTTAACCAAGAATAAAACCAACTCTCCACAGCAGTTTGGGAAATGACAATGCACCCGAAGGAGGAGTGAGCAGTGGCATGCCATTGACCCTGCTACTGGGAATATACTGTGGGCTTCTGTGGTGTGGGAATGGGGTAATCCCATCTTGTCCTGTTTTAAGGATATTTGCAAGGGCATGGGTGAGAAATATATGCAAAACTGCCCGACAGAGTAGCAGATTCCGTACTATAGCTTACATTTAGAGCAGCGGGTGGCCATGCTACCCACATATACCACCTAGTAGCTATCTGCAGCTGTTCTTTTTAATTTGCTGGTGTTTTATCTATTTTACATCATGAAATGAGGGTGTTGAAATGGTCTTTTTTCCTTGTTTTCCTTTGTCATAAAACATTGTCATGTATGCACAGGACAGCAGCCTCCATTGCTTAGTGGGGGTTAGCTGTAGTGCAGGTTGTGGTCGTGCAAAAAACTTAATGTCTAAAGAGGCCCTAAAGCAGCTTCTTTTCCTCAGACTTCCTGAACTAAGTCACTTTTTCCTCTCTCCAAACCCACCTCCTGGCTGGAATTCACTTCTTCCCTCAATACAGTATGCAGTATATTGTACTAAGTACTCAATACAGTATATTGGTGAGCCTTCGGGGGAAAAGGGTTCTTGGAAAAGTTTGCTCCTCCTGTTCCAAATCTTCTGAGCCACCTTAGACCCCAGATGTTGGAGATGGGTATTTGCAATGGATTTGGAACCATTCTTACCATATACATATGTATATGATAAAATACACAGTGATTCTGTACCCATCTCCCTCCCTCCCCCCAACTAGTTTGGGGAGAGGGTGGGTGGCTGTCTTAGGTAGGGGAGGAGAAAAAGTTGTAATTTTTATTTACTTTTTATTAAAAATAATAAAACATAAGAAATAGTTTTTAAGGATTCTTGCCTTTTTTTTTTTTCTTAATCCCAGGCCAAGCATTAGGGAGGAAGCAGGAGACCTGGCTAAGTTCTAGCTTGACCAGGGTCTTTTGAGGAACTAGCTTCTTTGACAAAAGTTGAAGGTGTTGTGAGGTCATATATTCCTTAGGAAAGCACAATATCAATGCTGGATATTGAGGAAGAAAGATGACTCAAGATGGGCAGAATCTTGCAAAAGTAACAAAAAGAGGGCAACATAACAGGGAATGTGGGCTTCAAGCTCCCTGCTTCCTCTTTCCTCCCTTAAGGGGGGGGGTGGATTTCTAACTGAAATCCCATGAGCAGAATGGGTTGGACTAGTGAAGTTCAGGGAAGATGTGAGTATGCTGAAGAGAAGCCCCATCTGCTCCAGAGGGAGGGAATGATGCCTGCTCAGCTGAAATCTGTGATGTTAAATAGGCAGGAATTAGGTGTTTGTGTTGGGATCCAGTAGGAAATATGGTTTGTAGTCATGATTTCAAACAAGTCAACTTCTGGGCTTCAGTTTCTTCAAATATAAAGTGAGAATAAAACTTTGATCTAATGATCAAAGGTCATTACTGGCATAAACTGCTATGTTGGCACATTCTCAATCCTGTGGCACAGGCACACCCTTCTAATAGAGGAAGTGAGTCCTA